TTCAAATTTAAAACTCCTATACATTAATAAGTGTTATAAACCGTGTTAAACTTGCTATGTAACAAAAATTTTGGTACATTTTTCCGTCACAGTTACCTTGCTAAAAAAATTAAATTAATTTTTACCACAACTTTTTAACAAAATGCGAAACATGGTACATCAATGTATTCAGAAAAAAAAATCACAAGAATTAAAAAAAATATCTAGGATGTCATTTAAAAAACAAAAGTTGAATGTCATAGGCAAAAAAAAGAAAGTTAAAAATCAGTTTTACAATTAAGATCGCAACACATTTAAAATGATTTAATTTGATCTATTCAAAAAAATAAGATAGCTACGGTCCCGGGCTTTTTTTTTCGAACATATGGTATATTTAAACTAAAAAACCTTATCTTTATTATTTTTATTAAACATAAGGCTGAATTATGTATTTAGTTAATTAGCATTTTACCCCCGTCTCCACGATAATCCTAAACTGTATCTATAATTTCAAAATAATCTGTATAGTATATAATTTTGGAAATTGTCTCTAACAAGAACGGCGGACAAATGACAATGAAAGACATAATTTTTCATATTCTAGGTCTAATAAGAGTTATGTAACATCGAGAAAACATGAAACTAGCCATTCCTCAAACGATTCATTGTAAAAATGCTTTATTAATTCAAATAACATATTTTTACTTAATGCAAGCAGTCAGATACAAGTAGAATAAGAAAAGCACTCATGATTTTCTTAAATACTGAACTGATCTGCTAGAATGCAGTGTTGCAGATTTACGGATCTGGTAACGTTGGTCCGATGTGGACGATTTTATGCAGGCAGATATTATATACAGCTAAGCGACACGACGCCCTCTGCAGAAAAGGGGAATGAACTATTTCTGTATAAAATTTGACGTTCAACAGTTTTACCAGACCCACTTTTTTATTTCAATTTTTAATTGTACTGGGCTCAAGAAGGCGATATACATGGTTAAACGTTATCAGACCCGAACCCGGGTCTGGTAACGTCTCAAAAGGTCTGGTAACGTTTACTAGATATAGCGAGTCGGGACTGTGTAAGCGGTATAACAACTATATATATATATATTAGGGTGATTCAAAAAAAAAAATTTTTTTTTTTTTCGTGCAAAGAGGTTCAAAAGTTTCTTTTCAACGTAAAAAAATACCAGTTAAAATTTGAGCTCTTAATATTAATATTAAGACGGTCCGCATCGCGTTTTTCTATTTCCCATAAGAATAACATGGGAACATTTTTTTTTGCACCTTCTGATTTTTATTGCTAACCCGTCGTGTGTCGTGAAAAAAATTCAATCACATATTTTTATAGAGAATTGAACGCTCTACAAAAAGTGTCTCCTATGATTTTGCGAGAAACCTGATAGTTGAAGAGTTATTTTAGGCTAAAGTTAAATTTATCGCAAATTTTGACGTTTTTGATACATTACAATAAATTTGATGGTCTTATTGGAATAAATCACCACAAAAATTTATACACATTTTAAATTTAGTTTTTTAAACAGTAATTGTTTATAATTTTATGCTTTATACTGTGTAGGTATATCTCCTCCGATATTTCACTGATTGATTTCGAGTCCTTCTTTGAAATCTTTGAGTTATTTGTACTTGATAAAAAAAAACATATTGCTTCTAGGCGACTTCAATGTAGCAAATTTTATCAATAGCACAAATAAAGATTCAAAATCTGATTTAAGTGTTAACTTTCTACACTATTGAAATAACTGTCTTTGTGCTTCTACCTCGAAAGTTTACAATTTTAGGAAAGCAAACTTCCCAGAGCTCTATAACGCTGTCTTGAATCTTGATTGGTTTGAGTTAGAAAAATTCACTGATGCCAACGAAGCTTGTGATTTTTTCTATATGTACTTATTTTTTTTCTATATATTCTGTGTTTGCCTTATATGTGCCATGCTATAGAAACAAATGTTTTTCTCGCTCATACCTTCCATGGTACAGCAAATAAATAATAAACAACATAAAAAACAAATTGAAATATTATGAAATCTGCAGGTTTTAAGATAACGTGCAAGGTAATATTTCAGCTGACCCAAAAAAAATTTTGGAGTATATTCAAAGTAAAAAGGAAACTACTAGAATTCCAAAGGTAGTAACTCATGGAAAACAAATTTCGCATGAAACTCCTGATGATATAGTGAACAGTTTTGCCTCTTATTTTAGGAGCGAATATGTCTGTGATTGTTTCCAATATAGTGTTGATGAAATTCTATCAGAGTTGAAAAGTTTAAAAAACCAATCAACAGCGGATCCAGATAAAATTCCAAGCTATTTTGTCAAAGATTGCGTATATGCTTTGTTCAAACCTCTTCACTTTTTGTTTAACTTAGCACTATTTACTAACACTTTTCCAAATTCCTAAATAATTGCTAAAATTTAATTAATAAACTCCATTACTGTACGTCCTTAGATTATCCTCGATAAGAAAAACAACTTGAAAGTGTTTATGTTTATACATCGGAAGAATGTCACGTAGAAATTAGTTTGATTTGAATACGTTCGACCCTTCAAAACGGCGGAACAAAACAATTAACTAGTGAGCTACAATCGACAAAATGTTCGGAATATGATTATTATAATTCTTATCAAATAAAGACGTTTGTATTTTCACATTTTCGAGAAAATGGGATAACTCGTTCTTAATTTGATCAATGAAAAATATGAATGCTACGCATTTTGGGTAGAATTTTTTCCGCGAAATTTTGGGATAACGTCATCAATTTTTTGGGGGAAATAAACAGATTTATTTGGATTAACAGTTTACCATGCTTAGAAGGACTTTAATGATTTCAAGGTATTAAGTTTTGCAATTCTTGATTTAATCAATAAAATTAATTGACTCGGTCATTAATTTTTTTCAGACACCCCGTATAAGCAAATCTAAAAAATATTAATGCAGTGATAAATCACAAGTATAGAATTCTTTACACATTTAACATAGCATTTTTTCAGCAAAATTTTGGGGTAACGTCATCAATTTTTTAAGGGGGATGAGCAAATACATTTTGATCAAAAAATTACCGTGCCTATGATAACTTTAAAACATCTCCAAGATTTCAAAGCATTTGGTTTTATAGTTTCTGATTTAATCAATAAAATACATTCACGCATTCATTAATTTTTTTGAGTCACTCTGTATATGCAAATCCAAAAAATATGAATGGAAAGATAAACCACAAATACAAAGTCATCATATTTTGTACATTTTAGATAGGATTTATTCGGCAAACTTTTGAGCTGACGTCATAATTTTTTTGGAGGGGATAAGTAAATATATTGTGTTTTGTAGGTTCCAAATTAAATGTCAAAATGTCGTTTCCTAATTCTGATTCTCAATTCAGAGTCATAAACTACATGTGTAAAACTATGTTAATTGATACAATTTAAAACCCAATTACTATGTACAATTTTGAAGTGACGTCATCACATTAGTGGTGGGGATGATTAGACAAATTGTAGTTAACGTTTTACCATCTGCATGATATACCTAATATAAATACAAAATTTGACAATAATCGGCTCAGTACTTTCGGAGATTATCTATCTAATAAAAATCCAGGATGGCAAACAGACGGACAGACAGACGGACAGACGGACGGACAGACGGACGGACAGACGGACGGACAGACGGACGGACTGACAGATAGACGGACAGACAGACGAACAAGGGAGACCTATTTCTTCGTCCTCTAGGGGTCATGATAGGTCGACAGGACGTTTTTGTGTTTGACGGGGTGTATCACACCTTCCTTTGCTATCGCCAAGAACGTAATTTTATTAACAGATTTTAACTATTTGTGTATGTATATAACTACCAGAGCTTGCTGAAATAGTGGATGAAACTAAATCTTAACAACTTCAATTTAATATAAAACATACTCTGGAAGTAGTCTTTTTACAATAATATTCATAAATAATAATAGAAATCAACCTTCGAGTTTAAACTGCTTTTCTCAACACCGTGTTTAATCAATCTAAATGTGGTTTGGAACTTCCTTTTATACGATTAAGGTTAAAAGTAGGAGCGCTTTTTAGTAAGGAAAATCTAAGGTTACTAAATTTGGTACATTGCTATCAGCTGAAGTTAACTAGTAGGGGAAAAACTAGTCTGCTCCCGGTAACAATTGATGTTAGTGTCAATTTGTGGTTAAAAGCGTGCTATTTTACACTTGTTTTTGACTTTGAGGTGCAGACGAAAATTACAAGGAGTATCTGTTGTAAAAGGAAGGTAATATATATATAATATATATATTTAATTTGTTGGCTATGTAAAATGCTGCTACAAATGTATCTAATAACGTATGTCAAAAGAATGAAGGAAACTTGTAGATGGTTAGAAGTAGAAATAATAATTCTTCCAGTGTTTACTACAGTTTCTTCAGTAAGCACCGTTGCTTTAATAACAGCTTATAATTTCTTATGTCTAGAAAAATATGTGAGTAGGGTAATATACAGAATCTTTATGTCTCCACCTGATTATTACAAAACTTTCTTTTCAGATTCAGCGAATCCAAAATTTATTGCTATATTTTTAATTCCAATGGCGTGAACTTTATTTACTATTGTACATAAATACAAAATTTCATCAGTCTGACAATTGTTGATGCCATTAAAATTCAACATTAATAGCGCTTTGATTGGTTCTTGATTAGCGAAAATATCCATATTCATTTTTTGAGCGAAAAACGTACTCTATGCGTCATAAAATGAAGCAAAGTGTGACATTTCTAGATGTAATATCAAATTCAGCTGCAACTTTTCAAAACAACTTTTCTGATTTTTCTATTTTAAGTGTGGCACAGAAAGGTATTGATTTTAATTCAGTAGAATTAACCACAAAACCCGGAAACCTGCATTTCTACTTTTCTCACTTTTGCATTTTCTCCAAAAGAACAATAATTTCGCGCCTACTGAGTATGTTTAAAACTGGAAGACTTACCAACTTTTTATGTGTCCTTTAGGATTCGCCGGACGGTAATGTGACAACATCCACCTTGTCCTTCGTTGCTACAAGGCAAGATAACGGTCGCACTCTTACGTGTAGAGCATCCAATCACCTGGTACAGAATGGAGTAGAAGAAGCTACCGTGAAATTAAACGTTTTCTGTAAGTTTTTGTGGTGAATTTAAAAAGAATCAGCTCACTAATGAACAGATTTGAAACCCTTTTACTGTTAAACACAAAATATGTAAATCTCCCTGATGCACCGAACACAAGACACGGATACAATATATCTCGCTTTATAGACGACGCTATAAATTTTGCCGATTTGTTGACGCCGACCCACTAACCGCAACAAAAAAGGCCGATTGACAAAATCAAATATCCGTAAACACCAATATAAAATCTAGCCACGAGCCGATTGGAAAAAGACCGTCGGATAATCTAGGAAAAGCGGATTGAAAATCTTTTGTGTTTCAGATGTGCCGATCCTGCACCTGTCTTTGGGTTCCAGCCTGAATCCGGACGACATCGAAGAAGGAGATGATGTTTACTTTGAATGCAAAGTGAATGCGAACCCTGAGGCATATAAAGTACTCTGGAAGCACAACGTGAGTTATAATGTTCATTCCTACGCAATTTCAATGCATAATTCTACTCAAAACAAATGCCAGACCCGCTATCTGTTTGAATTATCTTACCGAAAACACGATTTTGTCTAATTTGCCTGTTAATTTCTCATCACATTGCTTCCGTGAATTACCATTGCTCTGGCATTAGGTTTAATTAATTTCGTTCGAGACCGCAAATGCCGGAATTGTAGTTTTTCACCAAACGCAATCTAGGAACCGATCGACCGGACCGGAAAATGTCTCGGCAAAACCTTCAAAGTTCCTGCAGTTATTCACGGGAGTTTCGGCTTCTCAGTACATCGTCCGTTTTATTAAATGCTAACATCCCCAGTCACACATAACTAATAATACAAACCGACTAAAAAAAAATTGTTAATTAATAACTTATAATTTTCATAAACATCTTTCAAAAAATGTATTTATAAATGTGCGAATCTTGATTTTAAATTATTAATTAGCAGTAATCTATCATTTTAGATATGTTTTAAGTTACTTGTTGTCGAAATAAGTATAAACATATTAAGAAAAAAAGACAAAATGTGGCCCCGTCCACCCACCGTGTCTCAACTGTAATGTTTTTTTTTATTCATCGTGAGCCAAGGGGGCGGACCCTAACTGCAAAATCCTTATTCCTCTACGAGAAATTAAAAACATGTTTTTGAGTATCTGTTGTTCAAAGAATACTATGTACATTATGAAAAAATTAAAGCCAAAGATTAAGCCCCACCCATACCTGCCGTGGTCTAAATAGTGACAAAGTTTTTATTCGTTGCAAGGCCTAGGGGCGGAGCCTAATTGCAAAATCCATATTTCCCTACGAAAATTTACCATTTTAAACATGTTTTAAGTTTCTCAGAATAAAAAAAATCATCACAATTGAGTTGGGGTGGGTGGGCGGTGTGTTTTATTTCTTAATATACACAGTATTCTTTGAACAGCCCTATCCTCAAAAACATCTTTTTAATTTTTTGTAAAGAAATAAGTATTTTGCAGTTAAGCCCCGCCTCCTATGTTCACAGCCAATAAAAGAATTATCGCAATTTAGAAAGGGCGGGTGGGCGGGCTTACATTTTGCCTTTTAGTTTTAGTGTGTGTAGATTTCTTTTCACAACATGAAACTTAAAACATGTTTAAAATGAAAAATTTGTATAAGGAAATATCGATTTTGCAATTAGGCTCCGCCCCATAATCGCAAAATGCATATTTCCTTGCAAAAATGTACGCTTTTAACCACGTTTTGCGTTTCTTGTTGTGAAAAGATGGCTATGTATGTTAAGAAAAAAAAGCAAAATATAATTTTCAATAATATTCCTGGGAAAGTTGTTTTTTTAAGAGTTGTAAGTTATTATTATATTTACTATGCCTCACATTATTAGGACTATAGATTGTAATAGTTACAAAAAAACTGTAATATTTAAAAACTCTGCTACAAACTTCACTCTACCAATATTGTGTTTATATTTAATATACCGTCTGAAGGTAATGTTTCTGGTAAGTTACTAATAGTTAAAATTGTTTTCAAAAACCTTTAACAGAAGGTGTTACAGAACGGTATGTTTTTGTGTCCGTTTTTATCCGACACACTATATTCACACAGGCAGAGCTGTTCAAAGTACACAAAAAAAGTACTTGAAGTACCAAGTACAAAGTACTACTTGAAATAGTGTTCAAGTAAAGTACCAAGTACTTACTTTCAGCAAGAGTATTTCAAGTATCAAGTACTTTTCAGATGTACTTGAAGTACAAGCCAAGTACATTACTTTAAGTACTTACGAGTACTTGAAGTACTGGAGGTATACTTCAAGTACTTACAAATACTTGAAGTACTGAAAATGCTTCAAGTACTTTCTAATTATTTGAAATATTGTAGAATTAGATAATTTTTCCTGTTTTTTTTAAAAAGCTTAATATATTTTAGAACTGAATTTTTTAATATTCAGAATTTAAATATACAATAATACATATTTCGCCACATAAAAAATTGCATAAGCATCAACTTAAATGCAGAATTGTAGCTCACTTATTAATAATACTATGTTATCTATAAACAATATTCTTTTGAAATACTTTTACATCTTTCTGTTGACACAATGCCTTCGACAAAATTAACGTCTATTTCTAATTTAAAATTTAAAATAAAATACATGACGGCGTTGCCTATGTATGTTTACTATTAATTTATAACAAAAACATCGGCGCTGTATGGTATTTTCTCAGGCTTCTGTTGCCTTTTTTTAATATTTTGAATTTTGGTTCACCACCAAAACGTTCTGATTTTTTAATAAAGTTGTGTTAAAAATATATGAATTTTATGAACCGGTTCGGTGTTTAAGTTTGTGGGTGGTTTACAGCACCCTTAATCATTACCCATTGTGAAAGTGCACAGGGCCGGATTTGTGAAACTGAAATTTTTCAGAAAAAAATTTTAAGAGCAGTGCGATACATATACATGCTCGTGACATAAAAATGTTTAAGTCACTATGTTGCATTTTCAAAAAAACCGTATGAATTTTTTAAATAAAAAATAAAATGCCTAAAACGAGAGTCCATTTTCAGCGAAAACTATAACTCTTGAAAAATATCAAGGTGATCAAAGTAATTAGTCGTTTTTTACTTTTGCGGTTACCAAAAATGCTGAGAATTTTCTTGGAATGAATGCCCCATATTCCTGAATATATCTGTCTACCACTTACGTATTTACTATTCTAAAAATTATTAAATTAACCTAAATACTACAGTGACTAAATAGTAAACACTAATCACTACAATGTTTGTCTAACTAAGTATGTAACTTTACACTGACAAATCACAAATAATAGGTTCGTAATGCTGTTCCGTCCATTTATAGAAAATTTTGTCCTCTAATGCCACAATACTTTCAAAATTTTCCTTTACATTTTCGATTGGCTTATTTTTTATTTTTACCTGAAAACCCAAAGAAGATGACATTAGTAACTGATAACTACAATGACTTCAAGGAATGCCTAACAACGGCTTTTGCGAAAATTCAGGTAAATATGTACTAAATTTATTATTGTTAAAATATTTCGTAGGGGTGTATTTATCTAGGCAATTATACTAACTAATCGCAAATTTTTTGTATTTTTTTATAATGTGAATATGTATTTTGTTCCATTTACGGAAGCGGCCACTGACCCTTTTGGGTATCTTTACCTGATATCGTAAATACAAATGTAAATTCAGTACTTCTGTAACCGTCCTGTATTTAAACATCGAAACCCAACGCTGTCTATTATTTCGCACACAACAAAACAAAGGTCCTTCGAGCAATATCAAAGTACAATTCGGTACTCATCAAAACCATACAATCATGGTCGTATCAACTGGATTACAAAAAACATTGGTACTACGAGCCGAGTTTCACAAAACATATTTCATTTTGAACAATATTGGGTTTATGTAATAAGCGATGCAATGTAATACGTAAAGTTGTTGTACGGTAATAAATAAAATCCGCACAGAAAAGATAAATGACACTAATTAGTGTGACTTTTAAAATCATTGTTTTTCTGCATTACGTCTTTTTAAATTGTTTGTGTTCAAATAATTCATACAATTTAACAGATTATTTGAAACTGTAATGTGAGAAAATATAAGTAGTAATAACAAACTAAGTTTATATGGCTGAACCATGTATAAACAAAAAAAGAAAATTTGGTAAAAAACGAGTCTCTAACATGATAAAGAAAATTAAACTGCAAAATATTTAACATAAAATTGTGTTTAAATTCTACGAGGAAGAGGCGAATATGAAAGTCTGTACCTGCCATCAGCTATTGCTATTATAATAATAAAAGGGATAATCCCCTGCCGAGTTCTCCGCCCTAACCAGGCTTCTTACTGACAAATACACGGCGGGGTTAAGAAACTAATGAAAGAATAAATAACTTTTTGAACGAGTACTGAATCATTTCTCAAATATTTTCAAATCCGACCTTGCACTTTAGCAGGTACGTAAACAAACCCGATTCCCTTTAGGGTACCGGGAAGGTACTGAAAAACTACCCACAAAGTTAAGTTCCAGACCAAAATACAAAAAAGACAAAATTCATATATTCACAACTTTACATCGCTGAAAATTTTACACAGATCTCCGACCCTTCTGCTGTCGTCATCCACTCTCAAATGACATTAATTTTCTTACCTACCTATCGGCATTATGCAAGTACCTATGAAATGTATGTCATATTGTGGATAAGATATCCACAATCACAGATCAAAATATAACCTCACAGGAAACAAACACGATTTTACTATAAAAATACATGTAATCAAATAATTAAATTAATAACTTCAAGTATTTAACAAACCCTATTTTAAGATGTGAAAACTTCGTAAAATAGTGACTAAAGTATTTGAAATTTCCAGTTTCATACTTCAAGTAATTCAAGAGTATTTAAAATACTGAGTGAAGTACTTGGAGTAAAGTACTTGGCAAAATCAAGTACTAAACTCAAGTACATTTTAGAAATACTCCCAAGTACCAAGTACCAAGTACCTAAATATAAAAGTACTTCAAGTAAAGTACTTGAAGTACTTAAAGTACTTGAAGTATTACTTCAAGTACTTTTACTTGAAGTACTGAACAGCTCTGCACACAGGTATAGTTTTCCGTCCCTAAAATCCTAAGAAGTGTAGGCCTTCTTACATAGACCTTTTACTAAGATGGCCGCCGATTCAGTGGTACCAATCAAGTGAAAAATTTTAATATTTGTCCGCACTCAAATTTACGTTAAGAACAGTGATGTTTTATAATGAAGAATTTTATTTGTAGGCATATTTTTGTTAATTTATTAAATAATTTATTGATTGTATGTGTTTCTCAAAGTGTATTTATGTTAAAACTTATCTACCACCATCTTTAATTGCAGTTACTACAATTTAGACAAGAATTTATATTAATTTGTAACATTTTAATAAATAAATTTCACAATAACTTCTTGGTTTGATCTTTATTG